GTGACATCAGGCAAGGCAAAGATGTGAAGGATAGTTGTACAATCCACGGCCTCTCACATACGTGGAATGCAGTTGGTATGTGAAAATATTGTTTACTAACAATGGTCAAGGTCATGTTGAGCTTTATTGTCTCCTGTTCTGCCGTTTGCAAGACATACTGATGACCTGAGGTTGTTTAAACTCAATTGAAGATATTATAACTCCGTGAAATGTCTGTGATGCGGTCATCATCAAGAAAAAAAGACTGACAGAACATGGGTCGACACCATCCTCATTAAAATGTGTTTGCAGAAATGTCACAACTAAATATCATGAGGGTTAAACATCAGGGTTTAACAAAATATCATGAATCGACTTGTTGCAAATTATTATTCTTTTTCCTTTTCTTGTGTGTATTTCAATTTCAGGAGATGACACGCATCTGTTTGAACATTGCATCGAAACTGGAACTCCACTTTGTGACGGAAGAGAGAGGGGCCGTGCCAGCATATTTCACCTCCACTGGACATGTGTAAAATAATTGTGTAAATCACCCAACTAAATTCATAGTTGTTTGACTGTTTGTACAACATGCAGGTGATTAACCAATGGAGAAATAATTGTAACTCATTACCAAAAAGCCTGCCATCAGCCCTAAGGGGATACAGGAACATTGCTTAGGTGTAAGTTATGTTCCTGTTGAAGAGCAAAGATCCATGATCAAATCTGATCCGGATAAAGTTGCTGACATGAATGAGAAGTGCACGTAGGTATTACAGAAGTTACTACAGGTATAAATTTAGAGTATTTCTGTTGTTCCCTCATTGTTTCAATTGATGAACACTGATGTAAAGCCAGTCTGATTGACATGTTGAATGTATGCCTTTGAATACTGTTTAAGAATTTGTGCCAGGTCCAGATGATCCTTAGCAATCTTGAGCAAGCTTGGGTACAACTGTTAGTTATAACCTAACTTGTGATATTTTGATCATTCGTCATGGGCCAATCATTGCTGTTAAAGTTGCACAAGTGCTAATGATTTCATGTATTACATAATGTATGAAATGAATGTATCGTGGGCCCATTGACTCTTCGGTAGTTCGAGGAAAAAAGGTAAATTTTGAGTAAACTGAAAAATGTACATTAGATTTCTTCCTTTCATACATGTACCTTATTTGAGAATTTTCATGCAACTTTTGAAATGGCTTTTAAAGCCATTACATCATTACATATGTCTGCTATGTATGTTTGCTGAATAAAATTGAAACCAGAAAATGATGAAGGTTTTTGAAAAATCTGTTTAATTTGTGATTGACCAGGAATTGGTGAATGTGTTGGGTAAAATCTTTGACCAACTCGGTTGCCCAATATTGGGTCAAATATCAATCATTGGATATTTTGAACCAACATTTGGTTAAGAATTATTTCCTAATTTTTGAGCAAAAGTTTTTACCAACTAATTTTGTCAAATTTTTACCCAATAATTCAACAATCTCATTGCCCGACTACTGTTGGGTAAACTGTTGCCCATTTTTTGGACCAGTTGATATTTGACCCAATGTTAGTCAAAAATGTTGTTTAAACTTTGAACAACTCGATTTTCAGTGTGTGAAAGGTTTGAAGCCTTATGGGTCCAGTCCACTAATTTAAACCCCATTGAAAACAGTGTAAAATCAGCACTGTTCAGGGCCCAATAGCATGCACGCCAACATCCCTGACATTTCTGAAACACAAATTAAATTCTTTTCTGGTCACTTATCTTTCAACTTCTTTTCAATTTTTTGTGGGTTAACCAATTACATTTTTAATCATTCCCACAAAACAAAATCACCCCCCCCCCAAAG